ATATTTGAACATATATATTTAAGTAGTACAATATAAGAGAAGCAGAAGTTCATTATACTTCCTATTCATTATACTTTTTGAATTTGCTAAGGGCCGATTCAAAATGGTCCGCGGGCCGCATTTGGCCCCCGGGCCGTAGTTTGGACACCCCTGATAAACATGAATGAAATATTCCCAACACAATAACTTGCTGGGTTAAAGGTAAGCCATGTAGAGAAGCCTTTAAATAAAAAATCTAATAACCTTTGGAGAAGGCTTTTGAATCCATACGCTAAAAATGTTTAAAAGATTTACCTTCCACGTGACTTTGATGGTGTAGGAAGAGAGGGGCTCCAGCTGCATATCCAGGGGAGGACCCTCTGGTGCTGCACATTTGAACAAGTCATCCATCAAAACTGATTTGAGTCCCACACATCAAATAAATATGAGTGAACCATACCTGCTTCTTTCGTTGTGAATGTCAGAACATTGCTGGTGTCGCTCCTGCCCACACTGTTGATAGCAAACATACGGAGGTCGTAGGCCTTGGCCGGTCGCAATTCCGCCAAAGTCAGCTGAGTCAGTTTAGGATTATAGACTTCAGTTGTCTGTCTAGAGGATACTGGGCAACAGGGACATATATTTCAAAAGATAGAATTAGCTGTGAAATTTCCAAATTCTATTAATATTGAGATACTTTTATTGTGCTTCCTTTACACTCTATGATGTATAGATCAATCAAGTAGGATTCAATAGGTTTGCCGCCATCAAACACAGGGCTCCAGCGGACAGTGACAGTTCTCGGCTTCACCTCTCTTATCTCTACCTTCGGGGCATTAGGGCGTACTGAAAAGAAGTACAAACTTAGTTAAATGCTAAACAGTGTTGTAACAAGAAGTCTAAAATAGTGAGACTCAAGTGATATATCAAGAGACTTAAATGAAAACATTGTTATGTTGCCTTGGTCTCTTAGAAGTTGTGAGCAACTGATACTAACATACTCCCCACAGAGATCATAATGTCTGCCTGTGGGTCTCACCTGCCACCACAGTCAGAGTCAACTGGTGTTTGTGATCATTGAACCAGCCAGGTATTTCCACACGGCATCCATACATCCCGGAGTCGCCCTCCTCCACCTGCCTGATGGTGAGCGACACATCGCCCTCACCAATATCACCCTTGAGCAGGTACCGTTCCGACAGTCTGCTGGTCACCGTGGTCCCGTCTGCCTTGATCACCTCATTGTCACAGCCACGGCTAGGGATGGCTCCTCGACCCCAGCATGCAGGAAGCTTGCCGTAGTACTTGGCATCATAATTGCATATCAAAGTTACATCTTCCCCCACCGTGGCTATGATGCTCTCTGCAGATACACAACCTGGGAAGGCAGAATGGAACCTTATTAAGTAAACAAATATATTATAAATGAATAAATGTGCATTTTCATGACTTTCTTACCTAGGAGTAGACAAAAGAGGAGACTTCTGCCTAAAGAAAACATTTTACTCTCCTTGTCTCTATCAATTTGAGGATACGGTCCACCTGCTCCACGACACTGAACAAAACCACAGTGCGGTTTCTGCTTTGAAATCCTTCCATATCACATGATACCGTCCTTGAAATGCTCACACAAACAACTTTGCTGGCAGAAGAGGGATGTAGAAAGAGCCATTTCCTTCTCTGTGGTTTTGGTTCCTTATCCTAGTGGTACACTGTTTCTTTTTGATGACTAGACAGAGGCCAAATGAAGATACTCTGTCCTTCTGTTTGTTATCACTCTTGATACGGACAGAAGGTAATTTATGAAGTTTTAAACATTAAAACTCTAAACTACTTAACTGGATGAGCAGGTTGGCATCAAAAGAGATTATACAGTAAAATGTGGAAATACATTTATTGCAATAGAAAACATTAAAAAATAACTAAACTCAGTGAAAATCAGCGCTACCTTCTATTGTCAGCCTGCATAAACACAACATTAAAGATATATAATCATTATTTTAAATTCCAAAAGTATGCCCTTAAATAGAATACTGATGAAGAAAGAAAGTCTGGGTTACTCAAGGGACATTTACTGTTGCTGAGTAAACATTCGGGTCTGCTGGATGTTTAGTAACCCAGCAAAGAACTTCCTCTTCGATCACTCCCATAAATGTGTGGTCGGTACTAGCCACCTCAAAATATTTACAACTAAAAAGCTGTAGATTTATTTTGTAATTTAAAATATTTGTTGGATTGCAGAATGAGACTATCAACAATTCTGTACTTATACACGTGGGTTCAGACAATGAAAAAATTAAATGTGACTTACAACTGTAACAGTTAGGATACATGCAGACTTGCCACAATCTAGATGATTTTCTCACATCAGTCATGAACTTTCTGTAAACACTGTCACGAGTATTTCTCTTAGCAAGTATTCGTTCCCCTAATTTCTGGGATTATGCTTAGATTGCTAAACTTCAGAGAGAATACAACATCAATACAGGAACATAATCAGCATTTACTATATAGTGATTTTCTTTTACACTAAGTATTCACATAAAACCAAAACAGAAACCGAAAGGGCGACTTTCTCTCACTGAAATGTGAGAACATGCTGATATCCTCCATGTTTACAGCTAATTCTTCAAAATAAGCTCAAAAAGGGAATGTATGTCATTTTCTGTTGTGTTTCTTTGGCATGTTTGAATTACAAGATACAAACAATAAAATGAGTTAAAAGGTTGATGGACTCACATTTTGAGAGTAAGCCGTGTGTATGCAACAAATCCAGAACCTTGAGGGGTGCATTCCAGTGTTTCCCCTAGGTTTACTGCCTTGGCAGGGTGCTGCTCGGGTACCCCGAAAAAATTTTTCGGGGCACCCAGATTTTTTTTATCCTCTGGAGCAGAGAGAGGAGCTGTGGATTATTGTTATTGATATCGTACAGTAACAAAGTATATGTACATTAAAAAGGAATAATGTACAGTGTTACACTGTACTTTATTGCTGGACCAGCTCCACCTCATCTGATCTCTGATGTGAAAGCAATCGTGTTATGATCATATTGAGCTATTGGTGTGAGTCTAACATTAAACAAGCAGTCTGCTTGTCATACATTGCTGACGATACATTTTAAGTGGCAATTTGTTGAGTCACTGCCGCTAAATGCCGGTAGCATCAAGCTAGCAAATCCTGCATTAGCCTCACATCAACAGGTGTAGACAGAACATCCAATTATCCTGAGCTAATTTACTGATTAAACCAACTCACATCTCCTGTCTTTTTTTTCACCCAACTCATTAGACTATTCTTCTGTTGGCGTTTCATTGTTGTTTTCTGTCAAATTCAATACTGTAGTTCAAAACCGCGGTACCTGCTCACCATCTGTGAGCTATTTTTAGAATGCGCACGCTACGTTCGTTGTCGCGCGCGTCCACCTGGGCAGGCTCAGCGTCTATATGGCGCTGGGCAGGCTGTTTGTGTCCTTCTCCCGTGACGATAACGGCTTGCGGTTAAAAAATAATAATAAACGAATTTGAAACTGGGGGACACACACACAAACGGGCAGACAGCAGAGCTGTTCTTCTCCTCTTTTCCTCCGCTATTGTCTCTGATTGTGAGTGTGTGCATTCGCGTGTGTGTGTGTGTGTGTGTGGTGGGGGGGGGGGGAGCGGAGCCCCGCCCTTCAGAAACAGAGCGGAGGGAGAATGTGAATACGCAAGGCGTGGACACTGAAACATGCACATTGGATAAATAACATAGGCGTTTAGTTTATTTAATAAAAGAGCACATGTTCAATGTGAAACGTGACCGTAGATAGATTACTTCAGTTGCAATTTGGTGCTATATATATATTTATTTATTTTTAAATAATATTAAAAAAAAATTTAAATAACATTTTTTTTTTTTTAAAACACCTTGAATTTCAGGAAGGGCGCGGGGCTCCGTTGGCAGGGCGCGGGGCTCCGTTGGCAGGGCGCAGCGCCCCGCCAAGACAATGGTAGGGGAGACATCTTCTCTAATGTGATAGCACTGCATTGAATCCAGTAGGTGGCATTGTGTCCACAGCTATAAAACATCCACTCGTTTTTTTAAACAACATTAAATCTGCTATTTAAAAGGAGAAAACAGGAAAGGGAACTAATTAATCTGCAGGATAATTTGCATATTGTGAGCCTTCCTTAACACACATTAACCCTTTCTAAGAGCGGGAGAGTGTAAACTGCTGTTGCCAATTTGACACTTCTTTTTTCAGATTGAGTAACAGATGAGAGGTCCAAACGTTTTCCCTTTAATTTTTTAACAGTTCAATGCATGTAATGGCGCAGGTTTCTCCATTCTTACCTACCCTACCTTTAAGGTGAGGTGGCAATAGCACTTAGTGAAGGTTATGGAAAAAACGAAACTTTTTGCTGAAATCTGATGGGATAAAATGGCATGCTGCCCTCCACCCAGCATAGTTCATTAAGAGCACTGTGCTTCCTGTGTTGGTTCTGAATAGTGGCATTGAATGTGATTTACATTTACCAAACCATCCAGTAAAGATTGTCCTAAACAAATAATCCGACACACAACTCACAAACTATAATCCATTCCACAATTTTGGAAAATAAAGAGGATTATAATTATTTTAACAACAAAAAAACTACCGCCCTGCCCGTTCCCCATTTCCAAGAAGAAATGAAATGTTCTCTGAATAGAAATGAACCTCATCTTAAGGGACTGGCTCAACTATTATTGCTAAAGTTTTATATATGTTCCATAAACATGCAGCATATACAAATACAATAAAAAAAACAATATTGCCTTGTACTTTTGATTTTGTTTCCAGCAAGGTAGAGGTATGTGGGATGTTTAATTTGCCTAATTAATTCTGCACACTGCACTCCAATACAGGAAAAAGATTGGTGTTTGAGTGTGTCATACAAAAACAAAACATATTTTACCTCACTGAGAATATACCGTGTTTGAATGTGAAGTTGAGCCATTTACCTAATTTATTATAACATTACTAAAAACAGTAATTTGTATGGACCCATAGGTGAAAATTGAGCAAATAAACAAAAAGGATATAACATAAAATGTAATTTTAAAATACAATTTATTTTTTCTGTTTGCAATATACAATTATAAAATGTAATCCATCTTTATTCAAAGCATTTTGAGTAGGAATAGACATGTTTTTAGATCTATATTATCTTGATAATATTGCATTAAATCCAATAGGTGGCATTGTGTCCACACCTATAAACTATCCACAAGCTTTTAAGAGCTGTGCAATTCATTTTTACCAGACAAACAGCAACTTGATTAATCTTCAGGATATTTTCTCCGCCACACATGACACAGATTTGCCTTTTTTCAGAGCAATCTGAGAACTATAAGCTGCTTTACTGTGGAGAGGGCTTCAAAGGGTTTCACTCTAAAGCTGAAGCGGTGGAAAGAGTAAACACATGAAAAGCACACACATTCAGCAAGCAGTTATTTAGAGACGCCATTGTCCTCATCATGTTCATCAATTTTGCACATGGAAAACATTATAGTACTTCATAAATGTTCTCAGCAGTTGAGATGTTGACATCTTGAAGTTTCCTCTTTGGTAGAAGTCTTCTCCCTGGTTTGAAGAAAAGCAAACATTAAATTATACACTCAGTCAATAAAAGGAAGACCCACTCAGTGACTTCAACTCAATAGACACCCACTTTAAATGTACAAAAATGAATCTGAATGGCACTGAGTCACAAACTAAAATCCATTCCAAGCATACCAAAAGCAAAGACGAGGATAATGATGATAGCGAAGAAGAAAAGAGCTGCCACTCTGCCAATGTTCCCCACCTCCAGGAAGGCTTTGAATTCTTCCTGCAAAATAAATGAACCTTATCATGAAGGACTAGGTCCACTGTGCCATAAATAAACAGCATATTGAAAATTAATTGTATATTAAAAACTGTAATATATACTTGTACTGAATTTGTCACTCCCAGCCTATACCCACACCCACACATGTGAAAAATAATTCCTTTGAAATAAAAATGAGAATGGAAAACTGCATTATTATTCTGATGATGTTTGTAATTATTATTCAGATTTTGCCAAATCTTTCTTCAGAAAATATGTCAGGAAGAAAGCCAGATTAGTCAAGACATTAGCTTTGAATAAATAAAAAGCTTCCATTTGAGTTTATTTGATTTTATTGTAAGCCAACACCTCTTTAGGTCTATACTTTCTTTCACTTATGTTTCATTAATCACGTCAGTCACTGTAGCTGCTAATTTAAATAAATCACATAAGAGTAGAGAAAAGCATTGATCTTTTTTTATAAATAGCATCTTTTTATAAATACTGTAATATATAGTTTTAGCTCACTACCAAAACAATAACACACCTCAGTTGATGCAATTCCAATTACGTCCAATGCTAGAACAGGAACTTCCTCATTTTCAGTAGAAGCAGCAAATGTTGTCAAAAGTTCTTTGAGTAGAAACCACAAGTTATTATTATGTAAAAAACAAGGTTATGCTCAACATGTAAAATAATGAACTGCATTGTTCAATCCCTGAATACAGAACATTGCTATAAAACAGCTGCCTACATACATTATGAATTACAAAATATAAACATCTTTGTCACACATTTTAAACATAATTAATTAATGTATTTATTTCACAGGTGATTTCTCACCCTGGCTCACACCAACAGTAGGTCTCCATTCTGGGGTTACTGGTTGTTCGTCGGGGGCTGGCAAAAAGAAAATATCTTAATGCTGTGAATTAGGTTCATATTCACACTGGGTGGGTTTCATGAGCTTTACCTTCCTCCATGAGCAGGTGTGTGTTGAGCTTCAGGTCATTGAACCACCCTGGGATCTCGACCCTGCAGCCGTACACACCGGCATCACTCCACTGAGCGTCCAGGATGGTCAGCGACACGTCTCCGCCCGACACCCGGCCCCAGAGCTGGAACCTGGAGGACTTCATGGTCAGCACAGTCCCGTCCGAGGAGAGGATGGTTCTGGAGCATTGGGATTTGGGCACCATTCCTCGCCCCCAACAGAAACTCAGGACGCCGTGAGTTTGGGAGTCATACCTACAGGGCAGAGTCACATTGTGCCCAACGAGGCCAGTGACTTCAACGGTGCTGGAAGACACTGTGGAGGACAGCAAATGATCAACTTAGATGATACGATGCAGATTGCATTTGTAATTAATAAATGTGAAGCCTGCGATTGCATCCACACATGCAAGCACACACACTTCATCACACTCACACCCACAGGCAGGCTAGAAATACAAGAAAACTAAAAAGCGAGAGTATCGACTCACCTTGGGTCAGGATTGAGAGGCAAAAATAAAAAAGACCACGCATGTGTGTAGGCTATTGCATTACAATGTCCTGAAGAGATAAAAAGATACACTTCTCCCCACACTCTCCTCAGTATGGATGATGTTATTCACTGAAGCTTCAACTTCCTTTTTTTGAAAATTAGGAAGGAAATCAATGTTAGTCATGTCTACGTATGAGCCTGACTGCTTGTGATGTGCAAAGAGCTCATATGCAGTCAGCTGGTATTACCTAATCTGAGATATCATTGTCTATTTAAACATCATGACCATTGTCCAGATAAAGATCATCTTATGGGTATTATAACAAGAAACGTTAAAATACTTTGTATGTACACACACATTATGCAATCCCACATGTATTCAGAGTAGGGGTGCAGCTTATTTTAACTATTGTATAATCCGCCAATAATTTAATTAATGATTATTTAGGCAATACAAATGTTGTCGTTCTGAAACCCAAAGATCTCCGATTAATTAATTAAGATTTTAGAAAGTAAAGCAGGAAACCTTCCTATTTGAACACTGGAAAGAGCATGTTCTGCCTTATTTGCATTGAAAATGATTAGAAGAGCACGATTGGTAAAAGTATTCTAGGAGATTTTTTTTTCGAACGTTGCAGTTCTTCTGTGGAACGTTTAAAAGAGGCCAGAAGAAGATGACACATACTTAAACAGGAAATGTTGGTGAGTAAGCTGTTTATAAGAAGCCTTATTTTCTTGACTGTTTATAGCTTGTGTGGACTGTGAGAAAAATGGCGTACGTCACTGTTGGCTTTTGAACTGTTTTGCACTGCCTACAGCTTTCGGGGTCCCAGTCCCCAATTTGCCACAGGGGTCAATAGTTTTATTTAATCTTCAGAAGTGATAGTGTTAACTGGTGTAGCAGTACAAATTGTGGAAGCAAACTGAACATTGTTGTTATAATTGCTTATTTTCAAGACACTTTTTATACATTTAAATAAAACGTTTTCACAGTGTTAAAAATAACCACCTTTACCCATTTGCTATCCTTTATGAGTGAAAGCATTACCCTTAGCCCAATCATATTAGGTTTAAGAAACTCCTCAAAGTGAGCAATAAAATTGAAATTATCAATTTGATTAGTTTAGGCCACCTAGTGGTTTCATTTTGTTACATTGTAGGAAAAAGCTCCTTGGTGGTCAGTTTCTTTCTAATGGATCCTAATTGACAGTCTGTAAACACGACATGGCTTCCTCCTCAGTTGTCCTTCAAGTTCTTATTTTTGTCTCGTTCCACTGTCAAGCTTTGATGTAATAAGTCATTTGCAAAAGTGATGTAATTGCTCACATGTATGCCAATACACGTTATGGCTGCCTCATATTTTAAAAGTAAGGTAAAATGCACCATTGATTGATGAGTCTATATGTATGTGCACATATATCCGTCTGTTACGGTCATTGTTATATGACTAATACTAATGTGAAAGAAGAGAGAGAGTGTGTGTCAGTGAGGACAGAAGTCAAAGAAATCTAATGTTGTCTTCCCTGAACTTTGTCTGCCCCCTGCTCACCTCCGACCGGCCGTCTCCACCTGTCAACACCGTCAGCCAGCATCGAGTTCCTGCAGAAAGCCGCAGATCACCGTCCTCCCACAACAACATCCTGCGCCTTGTCACTTCTCATTTTTCTTTGTCTGGGACAATCTTTGAAATGAGTCACAGCTAACAACATGTGAATGTAAAGCCTTTCAATCGACAAAAATGTGGTGAGTATACTTACAAATAGCTGAATCTAGTTTATTGAACTGTTTAATTAAAAAGAATATATGATAGAGAGCAGTTTACCAAATGTATAACATCAAGTTTCTCTCCATTGTAGTGTTTATTTTTCTTTAATATAATATATCATAAATATCATGGAAATAAATGGACATATTACTGCACTACAGCAGGGACAATAAGGTCACGGTTCCCTCCGTAGCCTTGTTTATTTGAATTCCCTGTCTGGGCTCACATTGGAGCCGTTGTCAATCGGCTGTTGAGATAAAGGTTTAAAAATGGCCTTTAGAGATGAATAACTGGTTTGGTGCGAGGCCAATGTGTCATCTCTGAGAAATCTATGGCTGGGCGACTTTTGCTGATGTCTGATAAAACAAAAGAGCAAACGAAAAGGAGAAGTGAAACGACAGAGGTCATTTTTAGAAACCGTGAAGTATTGCCGCCTGGTCAGCTCCAATCATGGAGGAACTGAAGCACAGAGTGACTGAGCTTCAGTGTGACTGAGCTAAAATGAAGAAATATGGGTATACTTGTAAAATACATAGATCACAGCTTCTTCTTTTTTTGTCAAATTAAGTTTTGTTAAGTGATCCATCATAGCAAATGAACAAGAGAAAGTATTGATTGGCAATATTGCTGACACTTAAGGATCCATTGTTTCCTTCAGAGCAAATTGCTGAGCTGTCAAATAGCTCCCCGGTCTTTCAGATGACCTCTAATCCCTAAATGTGTTTTCCTGATAAGATACCCTGGAGGCATTTGTTGACAACCGGGTGTTTGCGGATGCTTCTGCCAATACTGCTTTCCAACACTCTGTTTAACACTGAATATCAAGCCAAGTCCTAATATCTTGAAATAGGAAGACATGGTGTATTGTAAATCTTTAGAATGGATGTGTCTTTTTGATGTCTGCACAACTTATGTTTACTGTATGCATGTACGTAAACAAGAAGGGGATTGTTACATGAGTATTTCTAATGGAAAACGAACACACTGTATATAAAAACAGTAGTTAACTTATTTGACCAATAATGTTAGTGACAGTTAGAACTGCAGATCATTATGATATGCTGCAGAAGTCAATGTGAAATGTATTTATACATTTATTCAACAACTGATGCCCTGATGAAGACCTCTCGGTCACCATGTTGAACAAATATTTTGGTTTTATCCGCCCTCTGCTCACCTCTGATGACAGCTTGTTTATGCCTCCACTTGTCAACAGTATTATCTAGATAAGATAAAAAGGGCCACAAAGACCACCAGTATAACCTATAAAACCACTTTAGTGGTTTTATAGGTTATACTATACTAGTTTATAGTGCATTAGAGCGTTGTAGCCTAAACATGAAGTGAGGAATGTTTAAGTGACAAAACTCTCTAGAGGCCGTATTAATGAGAGGAGCCAGGATAAGTCAGGTAACGGTATTATAGAGCATCGACGTGTGTGCAGCGAGGAGGTCAACAAAACATCAGACTTTAACAAAAGACACATCTGTTCATTTTCTGTTCCCAACCGACAGTCAACATTGTTTATTGTCATGCATGACCATGACCGTCCTTTAACCTTAAAGAGCAACTTCCAGGTTAAAGACACCCTGAATAAATGTGTAGGAAAATGATGAATACACTAGATTTTCAAAAAAATATACAGAAATATACACTACAGTGACATCTGGCGTCGTTTTTGTAAGAAATGTTCACTTCTGCATAAAAAAGCCTCGGTACGTGACCTCCCGCGTGTGACGTAACACGGGGGACACAAGGGGGAGAGCGGCCGGTGTAACGTATTAATAAACATGGATCCCAATGCTAGTTTCGACACAGAAGACACAGAAGAAGTTGAACATGAATATTCAAATGCATATGACGGACCACAACCTTATAATTATGAGCCTGCTAGGCGTCCAAGAGACCAGGAGCAGCCAAGGATTAGAAGAAATAACGGCCATCGGAGAGAAATTGAGCTGTGGTGTGTGGAGAACCAGTGGAGAACTGGGCAGCTATCTTGGTGAGTGACCGGCGTTAGCTACAGAATGTTAGCTAACGTCACATCACAACATTGTAAAGTTAGCTATCATATATCAGACTATAACTAAAGTAGCATTGATAATATAGTAACGTTACTGCCAGGACACATAACAGAAACTAATGCGCAAGTATCAGCCGTATCTCGCGTTACCTAATGCAACTCCACACTACGGTGCTGTGTACCGGAGGAGAGACGCGAGATACGGCTGATACTTGACGATCTGGCGGAGAAAGGGTGTGGAGCCTTCTTCTTCTTCTTCTCTTGCTTTTGGCGGATTGCAAACAACTTAAAAGGTGCATACCGCCACCTACTGTACATGAGTATGATACTCGCCACAGCTGATTGTACAGGTGAGTGGCAGGTTGAGCACATCCTTCAAGTGACATTCAACCTATGCACACAACAAAATAACATTAGACATAAATAAATAAAATCAATGGAGACGATTGGAGCAGTGACAGCCACCACGCACACACAAACAACACAGACAGGGGGAAACAAACAAACACAAAGGAGACGGCTGGAGCAGTACAGCCACCACAGCGTTACCTAATGCAACTCCACACTATGTCTTATGGTGCCGTGTACCGGAGGGGAGAGAGAGAGAGCAGCGAAGGGGGGGGAGAGAGAAGTAATACGGTTTCCTGATAAAGCTGTGGAGAGTATGTGCTGCAGGGAGGTGGATGCACAACGCACCCAGGAACGAACGCTAGCTCCGGTACTTTTTACTGTGGAATCGATGTCCTGACAGGCTGGTATTTGTGCAACCTGCATAAACACAATACTGCACCATGATTACAAATGGTGAAATACAATGTAAAACTACCGAAAAATACCAGCTCCTTAAAACAAAACCGCTCTACTCAACGCAACTCTACTATACCCGCGGTCAGAGAGCGGAGATGTGTCCCCTGTGTGATGTAATATGACACGTTTGACGTATGAGCTTAAAAAAAGCCGTTTTTAAGAGCAGAGCTCAAAATTGCTCCTTTCCCTCTGAATTCCTGCCCTTACAGTATGTCTCGTAAAACATATCAAATCCTGCATTCACTTTTTTAATTGTAATTTTCAAGGAAGTTTAAGCATAAATGTAGAAAAAATAAAAACCTGCAAGATGCTCTTTAACGTAAAAGTATTCAACAAAGTATTATTTTGAAACTTTTTTTTGGTGGCTAAATCTAACCAAGTTACAAGTCAGCTAAATCACACCATAAAACCTTTTTTTTCAAATCTAATGGTTAAAAGAGGAACAGATACACAATGCTGTCCTGCTTATAGTGGTGACAGATCACAAAACACTTCAATGTGTTGTCTAAAGAGTCTAGACAAACAACCTACTGTTGCTGATATATGCAATCTCCAAAATGCCAATACATGTTTGCCCTAAAGAGACACCACAAGGAGAAAACAAGTATTGTGATGGTTGGCAGGTCCATTATAACACATCTGACAAAGTCATCTTTACTGACAGCCCACTGCCCACCTCATGAGCACGGCAAATCAACACATTCAGTAATGAGACAAAACAACATTTCCACCATCATATCAAAATGTGAGTGAAATGTAAATAAAAGCACGATACAGCCTGGTCAAATCAATATTTCCTGTGATGCAAAGATGAATTCATTGGGTTTAATCCAATTTAATCCTAGCCTGTTGCGTCAATTATAAACCCAGCATTTACACATTCCCTCAATAAAAAAAGTTCCTTTATGGAATCACTTTATGTTTAATGATGATGAAAAGAATAAGCCTACTGGAATATTATAATACTCTTGGTTTTGTCACTTTTTTCAATCATGAATAAGACTGTGAGCTTTAATAGTGTTTATTTAAGTAGGTTTGTTCATCTGTTCTCAGTCAGTTAATAAAATTCCTCTGGCCATTTATTTCTAATTTCCCCTGCAAGAACATATTCTACTATGTCTACTATGTCCGTTTATGTGTGTGTACTTTGTTCATGATGGATTTATGGCTGCCGCTGCCGCCGGCTGTGAAGCTCCAACCCTTTCCCCACTTCTTACTTCCCACCCTCAGCCCTACTGGGAGTGTGTCTCAATGCTCCCCCTCCTTTCTCTTAATAATTTTCCACCAGGGAGACCAGAGCTCATGGGGGGTTTGGGAGCGGAAACGCCACTAAACACTCCTGCAAGACACAGAGCTGGGTGAGTACAAACCAAAAAAAGGGGGCGCAGTTTAAGTCGAGTGGGAAATGAATCTGGAGGTGTGAAAGAGGTTTAGAAAGCATGAGGGAGGAGAGGAAACAGCGAAAGAAGAGGAGATGAAGTAAGAAGGAGCAGTTGGCAGAGGACAAGATGTGAAGATCTGTCCAAGATAGAAATACAAACACTTGTCAGTAAAGTTGCCCAAAATAAATTGTACAAACACTGTACACTTTAAAAGGACGGAGAGTTAATTAACGTAATATTACTCCGAACATTCCGGTGCTTTTCTTCGCCTCCCACACACAGTGTGTTGGGACAATGCCATGGATCATGTCTCTCTTGCTCAATGCAGCATCATTATGGGAGATATGGTTGTAAACAGAGCTTTCCCACAAACAAGGTTTTCTGGATCAATGGCTTGAAGACGCTTCTTGTCATTTGTGTTGTGTACTTTGTAGTAGATAGTGGCCTAAAAATGGGCATGAGAAGGGTAGGATACTGAGACCTGCTTCCATGCCAACACAACGTGAGGAAGGAGCCACTGAAAGATACTCGGCCAACATCATTCTCATGAGTTCAGTCTCCTTCGACATAATCGAAGTGGAAAAATGTGCTAACATAAACATGCCCTTAAAGGAAAGATGATTAGGGATGTACAGAAGAGAAGAAGTTCTCCTGACCCGAGGCTCCAACTCTTTCTCTCCGCTGGGAAACAAAGTCCTGTTTTCAAATCTCACATGGCCTGGCCACCCCTGCAACTAACACAGGACAGAGATGCTGAGAAACCATGTGAGGACATGAGTAGTAGCCAGTATGGGAAAGAGTATCCTGGAGTCCCCTAGCGGTAGTGATTTAAAATGTTTGGAATTTGTCATTTTTTAAGGTTTGGGTTAGCTGAGGCCACACAATAAAGTTTTATAGTTGTAGTATTTTGAAGTAGTTTTTTTTTTTTTATCAAGTCAAATGTAAGCTCAGAATAGGGATACAACCTCACATAAAGAAGTTAAGCAAGTGCAGTTAGCAGTGTGAATGTTGTTGGCTGAACCCCAGCGGGATCTATCAGTGTTTTTTCCTGTTGGTGTGTCGGAGCAGCCACAATACTGTGAATCAACCCAAGGCCACGAGTCCTTGCCGCTAAACATGGCAAGAGTCAAGGTTCATGAGAAAATGTGTGTTCCATATTTGAAAAAGTGTTCACAAAAAACACACACACACACATTCTTGTTGCTGTTGTTAAATATGGTGCATATTGTACATCAAGCACAACATCATGAAAATATAAACATCAAGTTTAACAAGTCAGACCATAGTGAATAGATCGAAATAAAATATATAATGTTATCCCTCGTTCATGGAGGTGCCTCAGAACAGCAGTCATAGGGCAGCTGGTACAAATGGATGTGGCTTTTGCTCTTTACAGCCACATCTTACAGCTCTTTAAATATGACATTTATAAAATAATTTCACAACCACTACAACTAAAAGAACAGTCAAAAAGACATTATTATTCAGCTTCTGTCATTTTCAGTGAGCTTGGCATTTGCCCTGTTCTCAAGCAACATAATTAGTGTACGGCAAAACGCCTCCTGTTTAACTACACCATTAGTAACCCAGGACCTTTTCAACAAATGTCTAAATCGCTGTCTCACAAATAAGTCTCATGTTCCAAAACAAATCCAAAAGCAAATCGTTTAACTACATTGTGCAGCGGCAGTTTCAAGATTTCACTTTAAGGGTGAGTTAGACTCTCAAACAAGAATGCAAAGTATCCCATTCAAAGCAGACTTAAACTTTCTGGAAATGAACAGGATTTACAGAGGGACTTTTATCTCTCTCGACACCGACAACCATATGCAAACAAGAATACATAACATCAGGATACAATGTTGTAATGTCAAAGGCTCTCACAAATACCCATTTTGGATTCAGAATGGATAATTTCACTAAAGGTGATAAACGTTTGCATGTCTGAGAAGCACACCACAAAATGGCTCCTGAAATACTGTAAGTACCGGTACTACTTTTTTGTAGAAAATTGATAACACAGTTTAGCAAGCTCTATGTGTATCTTATCAATACTAAAAATGATCAATACAAATAAAGTCAATGATAACTACAAACTTTGGGGAAAATGTTGTACTCTAATCATAACTTGGGGGAACTCAGGGAAAAAAATATTTTGCAGCATCATTGATTTTCCCACTTTTGTGCAGCCCCAAATAGCTTCCATATACAGACAGCAGTTGGTAAACTTGACAGGCAGTAGCTTGTCAGGGTAGTGCTTTCATTAAAATGTTCAGCACATGTTAAAACAAATCCTTAACAACTCATCTTTAAACTACTTAAAGATGATTCGACAACTCTGTCGTGGCCACTCAGCTATTAAACGTATAAACTTTGGGCTGAACTGAACAAAACTGCTTGAGTCAGCAAAGTGGCGCTTCCCTTTGCAAGTTGAAGCAGTATGTCTTCTACATTAGGTTCCAGGTGTTAATTATGTGCCCATTTCTGCCAAGTTACAAACTTTATTCCTGACTTGTTAAATCCAATTCTGTCCTTTTTAATATTCACACACAGCCACTGGCCAAAACAGAAGCAAAGAACACCAGTCGGATCGATAATCGGATGCGTGACTGAGATAGATTCTCTGTTTGCTGTCCAGACGGTTCTCAATCTTTCAGACCAGACCATGGCCTCTTGATTGGGTGATTGTTAAAGACAAAGGGTGGGCTTATTTATTACAACTCTTTTTTTCCAAGTCAGAAAATATAGATGGAAGATAACTTAACATACCTGCCTTCAACGTAAATCATCAGGATGAACTAACAAGTCGATCACTAAGGTTGGAGGCTTAAAAAGGACACAATGCCACATCGGGTATTTCAACAGAAAGAGATGTTTCAGAGTTCGTTTTTTCAGAGTAAATATTAGGACATGTCATCTAGCAGTGATTTAAATAGCCTCTCAAACATTGCCACTGTTTTATGTACTGTAAATTCTCACGTCCCAGCCGGTGTGTCTGCTGCGTGGGAGGCCAGGTCGGAACACAAATCAGTAAACAGACCGATTTACCTACTGGAGGCATTTCAGGAATTTCCACACACGTGCACATACACACACACATTTCCTTTCTCAAGTTGTCTTGTCTACTGGTACATCATCCATCTTCGGCAAATGACCAGTTTATTAGATTCATATGGGAAACCCACACAAAGACGGGAAGGAAAGGCACCGTCTGCATGCACGGACACAATGGGAGCTGAAGGAGAGGGCACCGTGTCAGAGGAAAAACACTCACCTGAGAGAGCAAAGGTGACATTCCAGACACCGTACAGTAGATAAGGAGGTTTGGTGTACTGAAGATGTGATGACTTCTTTTTTGCTCCTGTAAAGTAAAGTACATTAAAAGCCCATTTTACTCACCAATTCATTCTGGGGGAGATTTGAGTACAGCTTTAGATTCTGGAGTCTGTTAGGGTAAGAAAAACACGCAGTCAGAATATCAGACACAGTTTAAACAATCCCCAGTGAAAGCAGAAATAAAGACATCCAAAACGTCCATTAAAATGATTTACCACGTCATAAAACTGTGCAGCCACTTGTACAGTCTAGCTATACAGGATCTAACAAACTCTTACAATGGACAGTATTGCTGATAACTTTTAACATTTAACTTTTTGAGTTTTAAAAAGTTGTTTCTTGACGTTTGATACAGCGGCTGACAAAATTATCTTACTCCATTTAGTTGTTCTGAAGCTTTCAGTCATACCACAGATGGAGTTTGTGCAGTTGTACAAATGTCCAGGTTATCAACATTTATATGAAAATGGATGAGAAGTTTTTTAAGTTATATTTCCGTAGAAACCCGGGCTCCATCTTTGTATATAAATATGTAACAATGGTGGAGAAAGTCCCTCCGGCCTACTTTGAGTGCCCATTTTCATATTCAGTTTTTTCTATAGGGCGCAGTAGATAATAAGTATATTTTCATACCATACGAACAACATAGACCAAATGTACTTAGAAAATGACCTAATATGGTAACGTTTGGGTTTTTTAAATATAAAAATAGCATGTACCAACCATAAAAAGTACCACAGACATCTCTGTATCTCTGTAGACTTAAAATACAGCTAAAATATATTTATGGATACAAAGTGATTTAAAGCTTGTCATCCAGCCAAGAGTTAAAGCTCGTTTTAAGCAACTTTCAAACAGACCGTGTGTGCTCTCTCTTTCTCTCTGCCTCCTTGTAAACTTTATCAGCCTGGGTCCAATCAGTGAAACTACTCCAAAGTTATGCAATCCTCATGTCTCCGCTGCATTGTGTTGCACCCTGTAGACGGTGTATTCTTTATGTTCACACTGCCATCTCCTTGGAAACACTGTAGATGCAACTGTGCAGCTCACTTGGCCCGGGTCTGGAGGGATGGCCTGAGTTTCTCACAGACGTCTGTGGCATTTCAATTAGGCAAGAAAAATACCTCCACTTAAGACACCCTGGAAACTATTTGAAAACCCAACTGATGTTTCTTGTTTGAGACAGGAAACCACATTATTTTGAATGTACATAAATGGATGTAGTTTCTCTCGAAAACATGACCCTAACTAGAGAATATCATCTCACAGTGCAAATCAGAATGATGTATCCCTATCGTTTAAAGCACTCAGGATACACACTGATTATAGCTTCAGATACTTAAGAAAAATCGCTTCCCATTTTCTCCATAACTATTTCATTTGTCTTACAAGCACACGCTTCCCTGGAGATATACACATGGTGTGATCACTATTTCTTACATCTGTCAAAACTGCACTTTTTTTCTTCACCTCCTTTCTCATAATAAACACAGCTGCCAATAAGAGCAGAGTGCCTGTGAATGAATGATGATTTTGTACGTTGTTCTATTGTGTCGCAGTTTATTCTGGCAAGATTCTGTGGATTTCAAAAGAGCAGTGTTTGTACTGAGAGGCTGCATTGAGTCTTGTCTGTGACTCTTTCATCAATAGGAATTACAAAACATGAGACTTAAAGATACATAGTGTGTTTCTGCTCAGAACATTTTGGACGTCGGCAAGACGCTCACGAGAAGTTCTTTGAATAAAGTGTGTGCAAAATAATACCACCTTTTACCTCACCTCTTGTGTTAGTGAAACATTGGGTGATGTTTTTTCATTCCATCTTATATTGTGCTAACAAATGATTTAACACTAAACCATAGAATGTAAACATTGTGCAGAGAAAAGGGCTGAATGCAGCGTCAAAACTACTGTAAAAGAAAACCTGTTAAATCAATTTGTGAATTATGTGATGTCGTGCTGATCTTTACAAGTAAAACATGTTGATTACGTTACAAAATGTTTCATAAGCTATTATTAATGTTTAATTAATGCAAATGTCTGTGCTGATGTTTAAATTATGTATTTTAAAATGACTGATATGCTAAGGGTTGCATTTGATATGATTATTAAATATCCGTCATACCACATGTAGCATCTAAACAATACATTCAAAATAGTTTACTGCTACTTTTTTGTAAGTGGCAATAGAAAAGATTAACGTTTTAACCCGTCATTATGAGAAATTGTTGATTGCACAATGTAATGGTTGTAGAATAACTACACTTCAGATTATAAGCCTTTCACTATGCATCACAATAGATCTCTGGATAATGAAGACTATTAAAGATCTAAAATAGTGGCAAACAAAACGCAGTGTGTTTTGTGCTGTCTTGTCAATTTTTTTTCCAATTAAAACTGAGCACTCCAAAATCTGGTACCAAACGCTCATTTGCATATGATACGCATTAATTGTATACAAATGTTTGAGTTGATTGCAGTGAAGGAGTCTGCCTGTGCACGTCACAGGAGAAGGAGGAGAGACCTTCTGCTGTTGGCAGCAAAGCCATGGACTGTGATTACATCGAGTAGCATCGATAATGAATTAAAAAATATAATTAAGTTCTTGCTTTTCTCCTAACGGTCTAAATGAGTCACTAGTAGTTGGCTACGCTCTGATAAAAGGAGGGGTTGAAAAGTTGTTCATTGCCTCTTTAATTAATCTATTACATGTCTTTTAGAAGTTAAAATTAATTTTAAATCTTATTGTCTTTGCCACTCGGATGAAAAAAGATGATGTATAATTGAATGCCATTTATTTTGGTGGCACCCCATGCACACAACAGGTGGCTTTGGAAACCCTAATGTGAATCATCATTTGATCAAGAGATGCGGAGCTGGAGGCCGCATTACGCAGGATGAGATAGAAAGGAATATCCATGATGCTGAAAATGTGTTTGATAATTAAAAAAAAGTTTTTTTTTTGAGTGCTTCAAAGACTGCTAAGTTCACAACCATGTGGAGCGAGGCTGATGAATCACACTGCGCATGACGATGCATTTTGCAGCTGAACAACTATCAAGTCAGGTCAGTCTCAATATTAATACATCCGCACAGTAGGATTGACAAAAATGTTTTATAGAAATGTAAAAAGAGCTTTTAAGATAAGCCATCATAATAACTCAAGCCTTTACTGAACACAAATGTACAAACTGCGATATGTGACAAGCTGGAGAACGCAGTAAAAGCAGCTCCAATGTTTCTGGGAAATGACAAAATGTAAAATGTTCAACATATTTCTCTTGCTGACAAGCCTTCATTTTTAAAGCAGATACAGTCAGACTGTGATAAGGTAATGCTGTAAATCTGGGCCCCTCATGCTGTAATGCTCAACAGAGCTGAATATGACTGATGATTTAGCGAGTCGCCCGGGCCTGGGAACAGCCCGAATACTGTGTGAGACCGGGCGAAAGAAGTGTAAGGAAACACAAACACTCGTCTGCACTTTTTAAATGTCCATTGTGTGTCTGTGTGTGTCTGTGTGTGTGTGTGTGTGTGTGTGTGTGTGTGTGTGTGTGTGTGTGTGTGTGTGTGTGTGTGTGTGTGTGTGTGTGTGTGGATTGTCAGACGGATGCATAGCAACAGAAAATTCCCAATTTCCAAATGATTTTTTCTCACATGTAACATTTCTGAGAGAAATGTGTTTAAAAATGAATCCAATGTAAATCTACACTTCAATTAAAGCCCAGTTATTGTTTTTTTTTAACTTGGGTTTTCTTATTATTTGTTCCAAGCACTTCCTTCAGTGGCCGGCCAACACAGCATTTAGTAAAGCTCGTCTTGTAGCTCTGTGGACATGGAGAATTTTATTATTTACATTTTTTTGGATGCTGTTTAGATTATACAATAAAAATAATGGATATAATTGGGTCCATTGAATAGCTGCAAGTCTTGCTCATTTTGTGTGAGCTGAGTGGGCACTTCAGTTAAGAGAGATATGCAAACAGTACAGCTCATTAAATATCTGTCGCTGCCATAAAATTCTCCCATTTCTTGGCTTCACATTTTATTATGTGTACAAGTATTATTTTTTTAATTATGGCAACAGCCTCTCAAGCTCCCTAATGTAATAGGATTATTATTTTAGTTTTATTTTAGATTCATTGAAGATGTAACATTGAGATTTTAATTGACATTAAGAAGTCAAAGTGTTTAATGACATCCTTCATCAATTTTATTATGTAGAGAACATCATCATATCAGTTCAGTACCAGTTTCTTTTTGACAGCAGATCACTAACACTTCATGTTATTTACATATAGAATTTGTTTATATAAAAATAATGAATTATTTAGAGTCATTGAACTTTTGGACACTGTTACTGATAATTAATCTGGGATGTTTTTGTACAGTTGAGGAACTTTTATTTTTCACAACATGATTAATCCTTTCCACTTTTCCCAAGGGCCTTTTAAATGCTGCTAGAAGAAGATTTTGGAGTTTGAAATATTATTTATTATTTTTCACCACAGAGATGGTGATAGAAACCTCCTGTTCCTTGAGTCCTACTTCTTAATGGTCTAAAAGAGGGTGTGGAGAAAGAACACGATACACTACGAGAACTTTAAACACCTGATTGCGTAGGCTACATTTCAAAGTTAAATGAATCGGCCTCTTTGCTTTGCCAACAACATTAAAAGGTCCCCTATTATACTGTTTTTCATCAATATATTATAGGTCTCAGATATATAAAAAACATGTCTCTGTCTTTGACTCCAAATACCAAACAGATAATTGCAGCATCCCATAAACTCCTCTGTTTCAGATCTCGCAAAACCTTTGTGAGATCTCGCAATACTTTTCATTTAGCTCAATGTACTTCCTGTTCAGTTTGGCTGGTTCGGCTGCTACGGCAACACAGAAACCACAACAACGGAGCGGTTCATCAATTTTACTTTGAGCTTGGCCTTAAATATAAAGATATAACATCAGTGCTTGGCAATAGGCACAGGTTTCACATAAGTGAAAGATACCTCAAGAGAACACTCAGAGCGAGGGGACATGCACGTCCCTCAGATTCGAATTTCGCAGATCAATAACTCATGAACATAACGTTGTAAAAATACAAACACAACTTTACAATCATAGCAAGGTAGACAACGAGCTACAGAGTCGTTTTTATCAGAACAGTTAAACATCAAGAATGTGTCACAATCTGCAGCTTGAGGAGGGAGAGGAGTGCTTAGGGACCGTCTACAAACTGCAACGGGGTTTTGCGAGATCTCGCAAAAGTATTTTTTTTGTTCAAATTTTTTCTTCTCTATATCCCCTAGGGGGCTCCGTATTAAGCAGAGGGGACACATGTTTATGTATAACATACATGAAAAAGTGGATTTTGCATAATAGGTGACCTTTAAGAGGCTTGATAAACAACAGTTCTTTTAAAAACACTATCAGAAATACATTTGTTGTATATGAATTGGAATGACACCGAAAAAGAGCAAACCTGGTTAAACAGGCAGGCTGTAGTGGTGGTTTTACTTAGACACACTGGAATAGCCGTGGAAAACACAACATGCAAGTTTTTCTTTTTTTTTTATAAAGCAGCAAAAAGGTAGTACCATGAAGTGTTCCCCTAAACAGTGTTTTATAATTTCCTTGTAACATACATTCTTTCTTGGTTTGCTAACTGTTGGTGCACCAATGACATCTGAGGAGTTTAATGAAATGATTTACAGCTCCATCTCATTAGGTTTTACATAGGGTTATGTGGGGCCAAACATGTACAAAATAAAAAATAACTTCCAAACAGTTGCTTGTTATAAAAAAATGGTAAAGTGTTTTGTGTGGAACTTCCCTTTTATTGCTTTTCAACATTGCAGTTTTTTGTAAGGACGTTACATTGCATATACCAGATGGTCTAAATCTCTGCCTGCAGCCAAGTTAAACTTAGCCTCTGGTGGTCTTGGATGACCCCTGCTATTATCAATCCAAGAAAACTATAAAGCTAGCATCTTTCTATCTTAAGAGTACCATTCAACCCACTGAGTTACTGCTTTAAATGTTGAGTAACTTCCTAAAATAATCATGTGATTGTGATAATCAGAAAGAAAAATATTATACATCTTTGGTGGTATGTATAGGCCATACAATCTCCTGCATTGTCCTTTGATGAAAGGTATTTAACATGATTTACTACAGACATATTTGTTTTGTCATATCAATTATAACTGCTGTTTATTAAAAAACGAAATTTAAAGGACACATGTCATGCTTTTCCAGTTATTACCCGTCCCCTTGTGTGTTATGAAGGTTTTTCTGCATGTAAACGGTGTGCAGAGTCAAAACCCTCAAAGTACACCCTGTAGCGAGTAAAACTCTAACACAGAAAATACCTCCGCAAACCGCCTCATTGGTGAAACGTCATCATGACGTCATCATCCATTTGATTCTTCCGGGTACGTGCTTACGAAAGCACGTACCCGGAACTAAATGGGCCAATCCGTGGAGCCGTTACGTTACGTCCGCGGAGCTGTTACTNAAATATATCATATACATCAGGGGTGTCCAAACCTTTTTCACCGAGGGCCAGCGATATACCTCTAGTGAGTGGCCAAGCCCTTCGTACATTTGTCTGTATGTGGCCCTCGGTGAAAAAGGTTTGGACACCCCTGATGTATATGATATATTTAAAAAGAAAGGGAGTGTAAAATACTTTATTACCCTTTTCTCTCGTCCAGCCTCCGAGGCCCGAGCTAAGAAACGGGGTTCTTCGGAGTTACAGCATCAGCTACAGAGAGTACGACCCTGCAGGCCGACAGTTTAAAAGGTGGCAGCACTTGAGTGTGCCGGCCACACGGGAACTAGAGAGCGTCGTCCTCAGCAACCTGAAGCCTTCTGCCAGATATGGCGTGATTATACAGGCCAAAAACGACGCAGGAATAGGACCTGCTTCAAATGCCCCTCTCTGCTCCACTCTGGATGAGGGTAAGATGGATCACATGAGAGGATAACAAAGTATGACTTATATTTAATCATTCTTATCATCCCAGTTTCGATATTAATACAAATGTTTCTCTTTAAAATTCACAAATCTTCTACAGTGTCAACTATCAAGTCTTCTTCCACTGCTGCCACATGGATAACAGGTATGTGTTATTGGCTGAAGCATTTATCAACATTTTGAGAGCTATATAAATAACTTGAAATAAAATATGTTTTAATAATGGGTTTTTTACTATGTCCTAAGCTGACACAACTTCCACAGTTCAGAGTGTTCCTGCTGCCACTGTTTGGCGAGGAAGCACCCCAGGCATCACATCAGGTATTATACCTATAGTATAGTAATTTATTTAGCCACAATTCATCCAATTTAACTTTATTTAAAGGTCACCTATTATGCAAAATCCACTTTTTCATGTATTTTATACATAAACATGTGTCCCCTCTGAGTAAGGAGATTCTGAAAGTTTCAGGAAAAAAGATTTGCTCACTTTTTGTCCTGATCCATTTATATAAAAACCTGTCTGAAAATGAGCTGATCAGGCTTGTGTAACCATTAGCCAATCACCAACCAAGGTAACCCC